AATACATATTTTTATTTATTTCAGAGAGGGAGAGGGAGAAAGAGAGAGAAACATCAGAGATGAGAGAGAATCAATGATTGGCTGCCTCCTGCAAGCCTCACATTGGGGATCGAGCCTGCAAACCCTACCAGGAATCGAACGGTGACCTCCTGGTTCCTAGGTTGATGCTCAACCACTGAGCCACACAGGCTGGGCTCTGCTTACTTGTTTTTGCTTCTCCTTGCTTTAGGAAGCCAGGTCATAATTCCCTACCACCTGGTACCCAAACCTATCTCCCAGGGCATTCCTCCTGGAAAATGGCAAGTATCCCCCATGCCACTTTGGCTGAATGGCTCTGCCTTCCTCTCTGAGCGAGCAGGCGAGCCTTCCTGGGTGGGACATAGAATACACTTCTATTCTTAGCATTATTAATTCTAATTCAGGAGGACACAAAGAAAACGCCACTTCCCTCTCGCCTTAGGATGTGCAGGCAGGGGAGACGAGAACTAAATAACGAACAGGCCCCGGACAAAGCCGTGGATGTGGGGCACTGCGCTTTCTTTCTGCTTCTCAGTGCTGCCGAGCCCCCCACAATGAGCTCTGTACTTTCATTCTTTGGGAAATGGATTCCTGTAAGCTTTGAGCACAGTAAGAATTGCCCAATCTTATGAAATATTCCTTTCCCCCCCTCCAGCCCTTCTGGTAACGCAGACCAGATTTCTAGACATCCTACTGGCAGCCGACCTTTCCTTGTGAACTCCGGTCAGTGGCCAAGGGAGAGCAGCATCAATGCTCTCAAACCTCCTTTCTATGCCTGCAAGCAAGAATCTGACAACATTTCTCCTTGATATGAAATCTCTGCTTGGACATCTGGCTTCACAGTGAGGAACTTTCAATACACTAGCTTCAAAGAAGGGGCTCGGCCTGGCGGGCGGCGGGGCAGGAGGACAGTCCGCAGTCCGTCATAGAGCTGCTTCTAGCAGCTTCCCCAGCGACTCTGGGAGCAGAGAGGACGGTGCTAACTAACATTTGGATGACTTGGCTTCAGTAGACAGACGTTTGGAGGCCTTCCCGGAGCATACAAACCATGCCCCTCAGATAACACATATGAGCTGTAGGGTGTTCTATTAGATGCTGCCTGATCAGGCAAAATATATGACTGTGGCCACAAGATCTGAGTAATGTTCGCCTAGCTGTGACAGCCTCACAGATTGTTTACAAGCTGGTTGCCATTGATGAAATAAAATGAGAACCAAGTGGCATTGTTAGTTTTCAGAGCCCTGGTTTATGAGGGGACATCATTCATTAATTCAGCATATTTCCAGCACTTCTATTGAGCCAAATATTGTGCGAAGGGTTTGCTCTCAAGAAGCATCGAGTCTAGGTGAGAAAGAGAATTCATAAAAACACAGTTCACAACCTCCCATCTGCAGTCCTCGATCCAAAATCCTCCAAAAACTACAAATAAGTTTTGAAAGGTTGCAGTTAACCTGTGAGAACACAAAACTTGACTGATGTTGCCAGGGTGTCCGTGGTCTCTATGTGTCCCATTTACTGAGGAGAATCTGTTTCCCAGTGCTTGTGTGTCTGATACTGTGTGTTGTCCCAGACCCGACTGGGGACAAAGTACAAGCACCGTGTCACTACACGCAGCCTCAGGGTCTGAGATGAGGGGCTGTGGAGGTGTGTGGTGAACACTTTACTGCAGGAATTGACAAAGCTGGTGTGAGCCTCTCCCTCGAACGCGTCACAGGGAAGACCACATTTCAAGGGAAAGGACTTCCTCAGAGTTCCTGGGACCAGAGAGCAGTGAGGGCGAGGACTGGCAGCGATGAGGTGAGGGAGGGGAGAATTCGCTCAAGGGGATTTGCGGAATCGGACTGGAGTGGCGGGTGGATGCTGGTGGTTCTCTAGTTCAGGTAATCAATACAAGAGGAAGAACAGGCTGGGGGAAGGGAAGAGCG